GGAGCTGGACGAGGAGGAGGAGGAGCTGGAGGGGGAGGAAGAGAGAGAGAAGAAGAAGAGGAGGAGGAGGAGCCGGCTGCGCTGCTGCCGCCCTCCTCGCCCTCGCTGCCTCCCTCTTCCTCCTCCTCCTCTCCCCTGCTGCCGGGGCTGGGCTCGGTGCTGCTGTCGCCGGCTTTCGATGCCCAGGAGGCGGCGGCGGCGGCGCTGTACGGGGCGGGCGAGCCGCGGGGCATGATGGCGGCGGGGCTGCCCCCCGCCTACAGCAACGATGGAGGAGGTGGAGGAGGAGGAGGAGGGGGGGAGCAGCCGCCACAAACGGCGAGCAGGCGGCGCTGCTCCCCGAAAAAGCGTCAACACCACCGAGTGTGTCCCCGTGCCCAGCTCCGAGCATGTGGCCGAGATCGTGGGCCGCCAGGGTGAGCGGGGACAGCCCGGGAGGGAGGGGGGGGACGCGCAAAATGGCCGGGAGGGAGGGGAAAGGGGGGGGGGGGGGGTTCGCCTCACCGCTGAGGCACACGGTGGCTGAGGGAGAAAGGATAAACCCCAAGGATTAAGGGGTGTAGAAGAGCCCTGCTGGCATGGGTTGGGGCTGCAGGGCCCTAATATGGGGTTTGGGGTGGGTTTGTGTGTTGAAAAAGCTCGCCGGGGTGTTAGGGTCGGTGGCTGCTTGGTGGGGTTTTTTAGTATATAATGATCCCTTTTTGGTGTAAGAACTGGAGGGAAAGGGGTTACTGGGTGCCTTTCTCACGGCTCCACGTCTCGCTGAGGCCAGGGAGTGATGCAGGCTCTGGGCTGTGCGAAATCAAGGGGCAGGAGCAAGCTCAGCTCAGCCTCCTGGTAGTTATGAAGTGTTTTCTGGTAGTTCTGAAGCATTTCCCAGCTCGAAAACCTCACACAGAGCCCAAACAGGCGTTGGGGCTTTGTTCTTCACCTTAACATCCTCAATAAGCCTTTCCCTTCAGGAGCTTGGCACCGTATTTCACAAAACCCTACAGGCGCGGGGGCTCAGCCTGTGGCAGCATCCCCCTCGCTCTGCCCGCATCGCCTCAAAGTTTGGGGCAGGGTTGAAAACTTGCCTCAAGTTTCCACCCTGCACGCCGAGGAGGTGACCCGGCGATGGGGAAACGAGCCACCACCAACCCTCGCTGACTAAAAACGTCTGCTTCTGGTTTCCTGTTGATTGCTAAATTTGCGGGCCCCCGTTGTGCCTTTACGTAAAAGGTCATCCCTGCGACGTCCTCGGTGGCCTCCCACCTCCTCTTCCCCTGAGACCCCACGGTTGTGTTAGACCAACTCTCCAGCAGCAAATCTTAGAAAAAAAGAGCTTTAAAAGCTCTTTTCCCAAAGTGAAGCGCAGAGCAGTGGCGAGTGTAGGTGTGGCAGGGCAGACGGGTAGTTTCTCTCTTCCTTTTCCCTTTGTGTGTTTTTCTGTCTGGGTTTTTGGGGGTTGTGTTTCTGGCTTGCTGAGCAGATAATGAGATGTTGGGCTGTCTGGGCTCTTACATCAGCGGGGCTTTAGCAGAAACAGTCAAATCAGTAAATCAGTGTGGCACCGGAGAGATTCGGCACTTGTTTCCTCATCCTGAATTTATTCGGCTTTAAGCATTCTTCATCAAAGGTGGGTTTTCTGCTGGGCGTTTCAAAAACCCAAAGCCTGTGCTGTAGGAACTGGCGTGTATGGGGTCAGGTACCCATTCCTGGCACCGAGGTGGAAAATATTTATCCGTTGTTAAAACAGTAAGTGGCATGTCCCTCCGGTACGTCGACATGTGCAGGCTAGTCTGGCAGCCAGGTGGCTTTTCTTTTCCCTTAAATGCAGAAGCACAAGACATTTTTCCACGAAATAATGCTCGAATGATTTAGGGCCTTGCTTATGTGTCATTGGGGACGGGGGGCAGGAGGAGAGCTGGAAAACGGAACTGAAAACCAGGGACTGCTTCAGTCCTTTGCGATGAAATGGGGGAAAATTGGGCTTCGTGGACCTTTTAGGATGTTGTTTGTTCTCCGCCGGATCGGGATCGTTCTCTGTAGTGTGCTCCTCAGCACTCGGAGTCCCTTAAAAACAAGATAATGAAGTTTGCATAAAAAGAGGATTGTTCCTGAAGAGTTCATTTGCTGCTTCTGCTTTTCTTTCTCATCTGATGTCACGCTGTCTGGCTCGTGATACAATATTTAGCCTCGGTGGAGGGATTGTACCGCAGAAGAATTCGGGCTGCGAAAGAGGAAGGGGTAGAAGGAGGAGAGCTTGGTGTAAGAAAATTTCACCGAATACATTTGCATGAAAGCTTTGCTTAAGGAGGATTTTGGCTGCAGCGTGACTTGGTGTGCCTGGGGCAAGCCTTGTTGGGAGTTGCATCCTTCACCGGTTGTTCTGCTCCCTCTCAAAGAGAAGAGAAGATGCTGCATTTTCACGAAGATACATTTTTGTGTCCTTTCCGTGGCCGTCTTCGTGAGGTACAAAAAGAACTCGAAATGTCCTCAGCCCTGAAAAATCAGGAGTGCTGAGTTTGATCTGGGCTTTCCTGCCTGTCTGAGAACGAATTTATTCTAAGTACTGCCCCCTTAAGTGGCAGAATAACAATTAATTGGCAGTTTCATGCTATTTTAACCAAATTTAATTTTTAGGCAGAGGAGGAAAACTTCCAGGTGGTGTTTATCAGCCCAGAGGAGCCCCCGGTTCTTGAGAGCTCTGTGCCCAAGCAGCACCTTGCGGCGAGGTGTGAGTTTCAGAAGCAAATCCAGCCCTCCAGGCGGCCAAGTGGTGCTCCCACAGCCCCCGCCGTAGGTAACGGGATGGCAGATGCCCACGTGGGGGGCTCTGCTCACCAAATCTGCACTGGGGAGCTGCTCACAGGCTGGAGAAGGTGCTGAGCGCCTGAAATGTAAGCTGGGCT